CAGTCCTGAACAACATATATAATGATGTTTCGTCCTTCGCTCGCGTCTCTTTCAACGCTTTCGTTTGGGCTGCTGTATATCCTCCAATTTCTGTTGGTTCTTCAAACCCATCATTGGTCACTTCCCACGCATCTAGAGATCCAAGAAGATCTTTCATTTGGATGCTCAAGTTTTCATAGTTTGACTTCGTTAGCCGTGGTAACGGCATTTGGTTCATCATGTTCGCCATGAGCTCTGATGCCAATTTGTAGAATATAAATCAGACTTTGTATACTTTTAACTTCTTGTATATTGCTCTCTTTTTTGTAAATAAATTACACACACTTGGTCTTTTGTAGACTCTAACAAACTTTTACAATTCTAAAACAGTAAATTAAACAACATAACTGCTACATAACTACTAAAAGAAAACTATTGTATTTCCTACTACCATAGTTAATACTAATCATTTATTTCTAACTCATTTAATATTTTATTTCAACACTTGCACACGATCAATTCACCAATCTTAAATGAATACCTTGAGCTTTTACACATGTCCATACCCAACAACCTTAACCCAATAATTTCACAGGCTTAGATTAAAGCCTTCAAATCTATTACAAACCACAAGTGAATTATGCTCTTGAATAAACAATTTCAGCACAATATAAAGACACCATAATCCTCAGATAGAGCTTTTCACTTTCTCAGCATAAGACAATGACTAGTGAACAAAACTTATAAAATAGGAGTAATATGAGAGATACAAGAGTTAATAATTTTTAAAATTGGTGTATTGAGAAGTGAGGAAATAGCTACATTATATAGAAAAAATATGGCTAAAAAGACAACAATTTTTGGGCCTTTGGTGCTTCCTAATCAATTAAAATACTTACATACTTGATTAGGTTAAACCAAAAAGGAACCTCTAATATGATACATCACTTAATCGATTAATAAACATATCTAATGGATTTTGATGCCTTTTTATTGTTCTAATTGATTATATGAAATTCCTAATTGATTAGACAAATGATATTTTCCTTCTTAATGGGTTAGAAAACTTTTTAGTGGATTAGGTGCTTGTGTGGATTAATTTTCAAGAAGTTTTAATAAAAAAATGAGAAATTTGAAATACTTGTGTGTGTGTGTGTGTACTGTTGTTACCCTAATTTTTGCCCATAAGGTCCCCCATCATTTCATATTATCACAATACATTAAGATCACACATTTGAGTTGGTCATCTCTTCTACTCTCTCATATCTTTAAATTTGTCCTTGAGGGATCACCAAACACCTTGAATTGTGTATATCATTTATGTGTATTTTGTGTTTACTAACCCTTAACCAAAATCAAAAAAAGTTGTATATATTTATTTTTATGCTTTGTACATTGTAGGTATAGAGCCAAGTGCATCTATCTCACCTCCTAAGATAAGGTTATGAAGATTGATCCCCATTCAGTTGGTTATTCATTGGATTTTAAAAGCTTGAACTTAAAGGTTATGTTCCTAGCATCAAAGTGATATGGTTTGAAAACACTCTCAACTTCATTTGGTCAAGTTTGTCTCAAAGTTAGTGGTTTGATTCATCAAGAAACTTCATAGGTTCATGTGTTTATTTCTGATCGATAAAATAGAAAGGGTACTATTTTGCTTGTGAAATAATAATGGAGAAATTCCCTGAATGTCGATCTCAAGGACTGCGTAGAAATATTGAGTTGAATTATTGTTCAATTAAACAAAAACTAGCGTTAGGATTGATTTTGCATAATTAGGAAAAATAATTACAAATAAAGTAAGTAAATGCGGTGAATAGTTTTGACAGGTATGAGTAACATGGTAGGGACGATGTGTGATTCTTTCTTGTAACAACTTTAAACTATCATTGCAACAACATAACTTCAACATAAAATTGCCGATTCTTAAGGGCGTTTACTCATAAGTCCTTATTGAGCAAACCTTTAATCATTCATCCTAAGTCTTATGTCCATAGAAACTTACTGATGAAATTAAGCATTACCTTATAAAGAATACTCTAGTACCTACAGGATATCCCTAGTCCTAAGTGATATCTACTATAGAATGTTCTCATGAACACATTAATAATGGCGGTCCAACCTAATTGCTAATTATCATCATTCTCAATTTGTTCGAAATAGAAAGCATTAGAAATATCATGAGAACACATTTTCTGAATAAAAATAACATTGTCATTGCAATAATAACTTCAAATTCATTATAAATCTGAATCAGGAATACCCCGTAGCATTGGGGGGTTTAGCTACTCATAGAATTAACAAAAATCATAATATTCGATGTAGACATTATAGATAATAGATGGAAAAGAGGTCTTCAATTGCCAAAGCTCATGAAAATATGGATTACAAGCATAAGTCTGAGTTCTTCTACCTTCAACAGTGTTCTTTGCCGTCAAATTGTCTAACCCCTGTACAAACACATTCGAGCCATTTATTTCTGCCTTTCTTGAGCCTTCAGACCAAAAATTCCATGACTTTACATGCACACGCATCTTGGGACGCACACGGGGTTGTGGCACGCGTCAGGGGACGCATCTAACCAAGGAGATGGTTTTCTGGTCTATTTGTGCCACTTGACACGCGTTTTGGGACGCGTTTGAACCAGGGGGGTCATTTTATGACTTCCTGCAGGAGATGACATGCGTTTGGGGACGCATTTAGGCAGAGGTGCTGCTTATAATACAAGGCCAGTGTCTGGGCACGCATGTGGCTTCTAGCAAGCGTCTATTCACGTGTCTGACCAGAGGGATGCTTCTTCTTTGTTTTATGTGATTGTGACATGTGTGTTGGCACGCATGTGCGTAGGGAGACCCAATTATAGATGATTTCATGGATGGCACGCGTCTGAGCAGAGGAATGCATTAGTTTCTATTCCACACGCATTTGGACACGCTCCATAACCCTCACTCTTTTCTCTTTATAATTGTCCCGTAAAACACACAATACCTTCCAAAAATGATCAAAAGCATTTGAAATGACATACTCAAGTGGACTATTTAAAAACCATAACAAACTTACTATAAATATTCTCATTTGGAAAAGAAGTACTGCAAATGACCTACAAAACGACTGATAAAATACCACCAATATCTAACAAAAAACTTGTTAAAAAACACAGATAAAATCTAACAAAAAACAGCGTACAAACAATCAAATGAGAGATATACGTTTGAAAAATATAAATAAGTATTGATGGTTCACATACCAATTTTAAATTTATATAAAACTTTGTCTATTTGATAAATATATTATCATAACAATAATAATTAAATTACATAAACAAATAGTTTCTAAAAAATTATTACAGAAAATAGTTATTTGAAAATTTATATGGTGTTGGAGTTTTATTTACTATATTTTTCTTTTAAATAGTAGCATGAGAAATTATAAGTTATATATTTGTAAACGTATTAAAATAAAGTGTTAATTTTTTCATGTTAAAAAGAAAAGCACAAAAAAAGATGAAAAATAGAAGGAAGAAAAAAACATATATGACTAACAAAAAAATCATCATATAAAATACCACATTTGCAAAATCTAATAGTTAAAATAGATTTACAAGATAGCATAACTAAAACCTTTGTACAATTACAAATCATAATTCCCAAGTAAAAAAGGAAATTTTGAGTCCATATTAAGGAACTCAGACATCACATGTTGCAGAAATTTTAAAACTTTCCTTTGATGTCAGCATTTCAAGTTGTTAAGTGTTTTTTAAAAGCAATACTACAAATTCATTTTGATGTCAACAATCCAAGTCGGTATATGATATTTTTTTTATAAAGATTCCTAGTAGTGATTAGTGACTGTAATACTACTTTGTCACATGGAGCATGGCTTAATTGTAGAGCTACATTGGAGAAAGATACACAATGAATGTTTCGAACTCCTAAAACCTACGTATACATAAATTTTACAAATAAAACTAAACTTTAAATAATAAAATGCAAAGCTGAAGGAAAAGAAACAAACTTTAAAAAATAAGTAAAAAATGGAACTAACTAAACAAATTCACACCAGTCACATCGTGAGCCTGTTTGTTTTAGTTTTAAAAAAATAGATTCTTTTTATATTTTCAAAAATAGATTTTATAAAATTGTTTTTTTAAATATTACAATTTTTTATATTTGCTTCTGAAGCATTTGATAGGCTTTTTGCCTTCAAGAAGAATAGTCTATTCATCACCTGTTTCTCAGTTGTGTGGGTTCTAAGCGGATTCGGAAAGAAGTGGAAAAATGGATAGGTGAGGTTTGCTCCTTTGTATATTCAGTGTGGAAGTGTTTCATTGATTGGTCTAGGAGTACAACGTGTCGGAAGTGTTTTATTGATTGGAAGGCTGTTACAATTTAGTTGGCGGTTATTTCGAATTTATGGAAAACTAGAGACAGCATTCTATTTTAGTGTTTAGAATCATATGTCTATGTTAAAATTGAAATTTAGGAGAATATATTTTAGTGTTTTTCCTAGTTCGAAGTCGTGATCTTCAATAGAAAAAATATATTGTATTTGTCTATTTAAAAAGTAAAAATAAACTTTAAGAGGTGTCACATAAGACTATGGTATAATGTGATACAAATAAAATTGAAGTATTAATATGTGTCATAATATGATTTGCTGCTTTAAATTTAATATATTATATAAATTGATATAGATTGGTTAAAGTGGTTATTGGTTATAAAACATATATCGTGTTGGTTTTTCCTTTATACTTTATTTTTCTTTTAATTAGTAGCATGAGAAAATTATAAGTAATATATTTGTATACGAATTAAAATGTTAATTTTTTCGTGTTAAAAATAAATGCATACAAAAAATTAAAAACAAAATCATCATAAGAATATCACTTTTACAAAATCTAATAATTGAAATAGATTTACAAGATGACATAACTAAATTCATTGTACAGTTACAAAATCAAAATTCTCCATAAAAAGTAAATTATGAATCCAGATTAAGAAAATCAAGCACCATGATGCTAGCTAGCATTCATCGATTGTCTCCATTATTTCTATTTCATCCATCACTGCATTATTCTTCTTAGAAATCATGGAGGATGGTGTTGCAAATCGCGCTGAGAAAGACCTTGAAAAATCATCATCATTGGAATAACCATTATCAAAATTTTGTAAGTAAGAGCTAGGATCATATAGAAACACAGGTGAAGATGATCTACACATTTTTCTCTTTTTTTCCCTCTTGATCTTCCTCCACAGTTTTTTCAACCTTGCTATATTTATTTTGCTCATAAATTCATTGACACATACAATAGGGTCATAGCCAATTCTCTCATAACTTGACCAAATGCAGTTATTTCTTGAGCCTAGACAATTGCAATTTTCAACATCCATAGTGTATGGAGTAGAGAACAAAACTATAAATTAGTTTAAGGAAACAATGTGTTAGGAGTGCATGTACATACTAAGACTAAGGCTAAAAACTACTTATATAGTGATGGCATGAACAATTTTCCTTTCCCTTTTTCAATCTTCTCATCACCACCTCAGCAAAGCACAAATTTTGAGCTAAATTGGACCAACAAAAAGAAATGTTTTTTTTTTTGGATAATCCTACAATTTAAAAAGTTCCTTTTGATGTCAGCATTTCAAGTTGTTACTGTATGTTTTTTAAAAGCAATATTAATAATTCTTTTTATGTCAGCAATACAAGTCGGTATGATATTATTTTTTAAAGATTCCTAGTATACTGACTGTAATACTACGTAGTCACATGGGGGCATGGCTTAATTGTAAAGTTAAACTTTGTAGAAAGATAAACAGTGAATGTTTCGAACACCTAAGACCTACCCTACATATATATTTTACAAGAATTAAAAACAACAATACGTGAAAGATTCAATATATGAGTTCAATTCGCCTGAGAATAGCACCTTATAATCTATTTAAAATTTGCTATGTGAAATCCACCTTCTGTCTACTCTATTCTAAAATCATCATGCTTTGTGAAGGGAATTTCATCTAACTAATTTGCGATTTATTTTTCTCATTGTTGCGACTAATATTTTTGTGGGAGTGTTTAATCTACCCCCACAATAGTTTAACTGTAGAATGATATTTACATTTTTAAAGTACTTTTCACCTCACTTACAGTTTTTTTAATATGAATTTATGAAATTCGTTTAAATATTTTGATAAGTTGTATAAATATTTAAAAATATATAAATATAAATTAAAAACATAAAATAATATAAAAAATTAAACGAATCTCATTTAAAAACCTCCCTAAATTGAGGGTTGCGAGTTTAATAGGACAATTGTTTTGGTCTAAAAATCAATGGTTTGGGAGCTATGGTGAAAACAACTCCGATCAGTGTAGGCATGGCATCTCACGATTTGGGTTGCATGGAATCATTATGATGATCCAAACCTGTACGAACACATCCCAGAAACAAGTTAATGGTATTAGCATGGCTTGAATCAAAAAGAAAATTAAGATATCAATTTTATGAAAATTATGGAATCAAAGATGAATGCATGGCATTTCATGAGCTTTGGACCATCAAACTTGGTCCATTCTTACTCTGTATGATTGCTGGGAATGAATGGAGTGGTTGTTTTATAGTGAAAGGGTTGTGATAAGGGTTTGAAGATCTTTAGGGTTCTTTGAAAAGTTTTGAGATTTTTGACAAGTTTTTGAGGCAAGAGTTTCGTGTGTGTTTGTATGAGAATGAATGGGAATATATAGGATAAATTAGGTTAAAGATATGAGCTTGGTCTTTGTGTAAGAAAGGCCTATATTTTATCTTTATTTTTGAAATATTAATGAGTAAATGAAAATAATTAAAATAAAAATAGGTAAAGGGGTACATGAACAAGATTTGAGGTGTATAAGGAGTATAGAGCATGTTTAGACTCTAAAATAATGGCCCAATAGCCCCAAATATCAAGTTTCCCCAATTTGAACTTCATGAATTTGCTCAAAATTTCCCAACTTGCATTGTTTATATCTCTCTCAATTTTCATCTTTTGAAGGTGATCTTGGACTTTTTGGAAAACCCAGCATCATCGTCAGAGTCTGACTCATCATCAGCTGTCAGTTCATACTCTGAGATAACTTCATCAATGCTTGTGTTGGCCATGAGTGCCACGTTAGCATATTCTTCATCATGTTCTTCCTTTTCTAATTTTGAATCATCCCATGTTACCATGAGACCCTTCTTTTCTTTAAAGACCTTCTTGGGCTTCTTATCTTTTCTGAGCTTTGGGCATTCATTCTTGTAATTTCCAGACTCTTTGCACTCATAGCACGTGATTTCATTCCCATAAGCATTCTTCTGGCCTGATGTAGATTCAAATCTACAATTTGTTTTTCTTGGTCCTCTGAACTTGCTCTGTCTAAGTTTCCATATTTGGCTTATGCTTCTAGATATCAGAGAAAGTTCATCTTCATCTGAATCTTCTTCAGATCCTTTTGACCCTTCTTTAGCTTGAAAAGCCTTTGTCTTTCCAGACTTAAACTTCAGAGCCACAGATTTAACTATTTTATGAGGTTCATCTTCTTCAAGCTTGATCTCATGACTTCTTAAAGAACTAATTAGCACCTCAAGACTAGTATTGTTCATATCCTTTGACATCTTCAAAGCAGTTACCATTGGTCTCCATTTCTTATGTAGACTTCTGATAATCTTCTTGACATGATTTGTAGTAGAATATCCTTTTTTCAGAACCTTGTGTCCTGCAACAAGAGTCTGAAATCTTGAAAACATAGTTTCCACATATTCAACATCTTTCATTCTGAAGGCTTCATATTTCTGGATTAGGGCCATAGTCTTTGTATCCTTAACTTGAGTGTTGCCTTCATGAGTCATCTGAAGAGAATCAAATATAGACTTTGCAGTCTCTCTATCTATGATCTTCTCATACTCATTGTAAGATATATCACTTAGAAGAATTGTTCCCACTTTGTAGTGGTTTCTGTGAACCTTCTTCTGAGTGTCTGTCATTTCACTTCTTGCAATCTTTATACCCTTATCATCTAGTGGGTGAATGTAACCATCAACTACCAAATCCCATAGATCCAAGTCATTGGCCAGAAAGTAACTTTCAATTATGTCCTTCCAATAGTCAAACTTTTCTCCATCAAACACAGGAGGTTTAACACTATAATGATCTATATCTTTATTATTATTATCAACAATCACAGTAGCATTGTTTGCCTTTTTTTCACATAATCTGGATTGGTATTGAGCACTGTTAGGTACTTGATAAAAATTCAAACTTTTTATCACTCCTTAGAACCGGAGCTCTGATTGTAAAATCAAGCTTCACAAATAAGCTTTTGTTTTGATGAAGACAAACCATGGCTAACAAAGAAGACAGAGATTTCTGATCAAGCATCCAAGCATCTAAGGATAATATCTTCATTCAAAGATCTTAACAACTTTAAAGGTATAATAATATTATCTACTTTGATCTTAAGATATAGATGCTCAAAAATGAAAAAGAAATGTTTAAGAATCATTACTCAAGTTTTTCAAAGATAAAATTTCATTTTTCTTCTGCATGCAATCGATTTACATCTTAGTGCAATCAATTGCACACTTTAAAATTTAATATCTTTTTCTTTTGTTTCTATGTGCAATCGATTTACATTACCTATGCAATCGATTGCATACTTAAATTTTCAAAACGTTTGCTACTGTTTCTCAGTGCAATCGATTACATTGTTAGTGCAATCGATTGCACTCACTTACTTTTTGCTACTGACTTTGCATGCAATCGATTTCATTGTTAGTGAAATCGATTTCACTCTTAAAGATTTTGAAAAAAAAGTTGTTAAAAACTTTGTGCAATCGATTTACACCAAGGGTGCAATCAATTGCATACTGCACGAATTTGAAAAATAACAGCTTTGTTCATGCCTTTTCATCATGCCTTTTCATTACATCTTTTCACTCAAACTTGGCATTTGTTCATGATACATTTTCAGATCTTCATGATGTTTCAAAAGGGTGTTATGAACATATAAATATTCAATTTCAAATCCAGATCTAACACCTTCTTCAATAAATATTTCCTAAACTTTCAAAATACAAACTCAAGCATTCTTCATTTTCATGCATAAGTTTTCTACACATTTTCATACATTAACAAACAGAAAACTTTAAGCAAATATATCTTGAGTCTTTGTACAATATTATTATTGAAAGAAGAAGATTATACATTGTCAAATCACTCTAAGTGATCAATATTACTATACTCACTCAAACTCACAAATTGATATTTACTTACTTATTTTCCAAGATTGTTGGAATTAAGTTTAAGTGTTTTTGTTGAAATCTTGTCTTTCCAAGTTGTTAGATACAAGTGTAGTTACATTGAGAGGATTGTTCTCATAGGTAACTTAGTGAAAATCCAAGAGGATTGTTCTTGGTCCAAGAGGATTGTTCTTGGTTTGTTTGGTAGTTCTTGTTTAAGTTTGCCACAATAAGGAAATCTCTTTCATGTTGAAAGGGGACTGGAGTACTCTTGGACTGTGAGGGGAACTAGGATATATCGCCCGTGTCTCTTTATTTTTTTGCATTTTTAAGCTTTCCTAAACTCCCTTATAACCAGAAAAATAAGAACTATCATCACTAAAAACCAGAATTTTTTAAAGTACCTAATTCACCCCCCCCCCCCCCTCTTAGGCGCACTTCGTACTTACAATTGGTATCAGAGCAGGTTATAGGTAACCTGCTCCTAAAAGATCCAGAATGGTTTCCGAAAATCATAATCCCGTTTTCAGAGATGGTGGTAGCAACAACAAGCCTCCTCTATTTTGTGGTGAATATTTTGACTTCTGGAAAATACGCATGAAGGCGCATCTAGAAGCACAAGGAGAAGAAATATGGGATGTCGTTGAAAATGGTCCATTTATCCCTATAACGGTAATCAATGGTGTTGGCTCAGCAAAGCCTAAAACTGCATGGGACGATGATGATAAGAAGAAAGTTCTCTATGACAAAAAGGCAATAAACCTTCTTCAAGGTGCACTTAGTATGGACGAATTCTTATGTGTCTCGGCATGCAAAATAGCAAAAGAAATATGGGATACCTTGGTACAAACTCATGAAGGAACGGTTGAAGTAAAAAGATCATGACTAAATGCCCTAAGTCAAGAATACGAATTATTTTGATTGCACCCTTGGTGTAAATCGATTGCACAAGGAGTTTTTTTCAATTCTGTCCATTCTGTTTCATGTGCAAATCGCACCTTTAATGCAATCGATTGCACTATGTGCATTTTTGCATAATTTTTTATTCTGTTTGTGTGCAAATCGATTGCACATGGTATGTCAATCGATTGCACGTACTGAAATTAGCTTTTATGACAGAAAATTAATGTTGGT